GATGGTGCTTGACAGGCTGACAAAGAATGATTTCCAGGGATGCTTCCAGGCTTGGCAGCGGCGCTTGGATCGTTGTGTTCACTCCCAGGGGAACTACTTCGAGGGTGATGGATGAATTTAATACCTGAGATAAGTGTACGGGTTTTTATAGGCGCAGTCTTGAAACTTTCCGATCGCACCTCGCATAATGAAACAGGTCTTAAAATAGCTCTTATGGTGAAATGATTCAATTGACTCGGGATATGTTCAATGGTAATGTTATGAATAATGGTTGAGAATTAAATTTTTAAGCAGAATAAACAATTTATTTCAAGAAAGATGTGTACTATCTCGTAATGAAGAAATATAATGCATCGCGTAGTGAAGATTACGAAAGCTGTCGATGTTCATAACCGCGCAAATAGTTGTGAAACAAGTGGAAGACAATTTTGAAAAGAAAATTCTCTTAGAAAGAAACTTTAGTTGAGTGTGCCTCGTGTTCAGTAACACATTGCTTAGGAGAATGTTTTGATCTTAGGGAGATGAAATACCACGTGGGTATATGTAATGAAAGTTTTTTCGGTTTGTATTCTTTGCTAAAATTTATAGAATAGTCAGGTAAAGGAGAATCAGAAATATATTGGAAGTATTACTTAGGATGAAATATCACATTGGAGACATACGAATATACGAGAGGATAATATTAAAGTTTGCTTTGAAGAAATGATTTCTGAAACTGTAGTTCGGATGGATTTAGATTAAACTTGTTTTATTGACGATTTGTACTAAATGCTGTTGGACTAATATAATTTTGGTGCTTCGTGTTAGGTGTAACCATTGCTTTATATGAATCTGAAACGTAAATTAAACAAATAACAAAACTGTTTCCTGTGAAAAGATATTCCACGAAAACTTAAAACCCCGGAATGCATAACTACAAAAAGCATTTCGTAAAGTTTGGATCTAATTAAAATCTTCAAGTTGATTACAACAATTTATGTACATTTAATACGATTAATTCTACAACAGTAGATTCATATTTGCGGTATTAAAGTATGATAACTAATGATGAACTGCAGAACATTAAACAAAGAAGTTAAAATAATTAGGCTTTCTCAATTAGTTTTTCCATGGTAATATTTTATGTGTCGGATACATAAATGGGAAATCCTAATAGACATAATACAAATTTGTGTCACATTATACTCATTGCGCCAAGTGTCTGAATCCCTCATTTCCTCGTCTCTCCTGACTGGATATTTTTAATGTTCGTATTTTGTGAATTAATAATATTATATACGTGACTATCGTATTCAGTCAACTACTCGTGACATGCGATTTGATATTGTCATTAATAATTGATACAATCATCCCATGGACTCAGTTGCTTACATAAATAAGACACGTAACAGAATTCAATAGAGCAAAAGTTGTATGCTTCGTACTTGAAAAAAATTGTCACATCTATTCGTCCATTTTATGTTAACACGATTATAATTTGCTATAAATTAATTGAAGACTTATCTTCTCACTGCTACACGTTGTCTTGTAAACTTTGCCAGGAGATGAATTTGTTTATACGAAGACATTTAATTATTCCCTGAAGGTCGTAGCACGTTTGCCATCTTATATTGGAATTAAAGTAAAACCCGATTCTACTCTTGCGATAGACATTGTGTTTGTGTATACAGTGATCCATTTAAGATTGTACACAAGCAGCAAGTATTTTGTCCTGCCAATTTGTAGGAATCTGAGTGACAATACTCATGTCAGTTTGAGGTCACAGACAGGCCAGTGTCATGTCAAGGTTACGACAATATCAGTCCAGGGGTTTGCCGGATAGAGGAGTTTTAAGTTTTCAAGGTCATTCGGAAATAAGTTTTTCAAAGGCATATTTTTGCCGATTTCTTGGAATCAGAGTGTTAATACTCATGTCAGTTTGAGGTCACAGACAGGCCAGTGTCATGTCAAGGTCACGACAATATCAGTCCGGGGGTTAGCCGGATAGAGGAGTTTTAAGTTTTCTGGGTCATTCGGAAATAAGTTTTTCAAAGGCATATTTTTGCCGATTTCTTGGAATCAGAGTGTTAATACTCATGTCAGTTTGAGGTCACAGACAGGCCAGTGTCATGTCAAGGTCACGACAATATCAGTCCCGGGGTTTGCCAGATAGAGGAGTTTTAAGTTTTCAAGGTCATTCGGAAATAAGTTTTTCAAAGGAATATTTTTGCCGATTTGTTGGAATCTGAGTGTCAATACTCATGTCAGTTTTATGTCACAGACATGCCAGTGTCATGTGAAGTTCATCACAATATCAGACCGAGTGTTTACCGAATAGGGGGCTTTGAAATTTTCAAGGTATTTCGTCAGTCATTTTTTTCAAACGCGTATTTGTGCCGATCTGTATGAAACTGGATGAACATATTCATGTCGGTTTGAGGTCATGGACAGGTCAACTTCACTTGAAGATCACGACAAGATGAGTCCAAGGTTTTGAGGTAAATAGGCCTTTAAATTTTCCAAGCTCACGTCATTAAAAACATTTCTCACGCTTATATCTAACTGCATTATTATGTGTGACCATACTCATGTTGTTTTGAACCACTCTCCCGTTTTCCTACGTAAACGATGAAATGCTAGCGGAGCGTGGAACTTTTGCAACATGGAAATATTAGAATGGCTGTTTGTGTGTCCCTGTCGTTTGGTAAAACCTAGGTTTGTCTGGTAAATCCTAGATTTCACCAATATTCGGTCTTTTACGGTAACATATATAAATAATATAGCTGCCTTTTGTATGTATCATCAGAACCATTAAATGTTCTTAAACGGACATTAGATATGGTGGTAGATAATGTTAACAATAACTGCCAAGGAATGTAAATTCATTGTCTGTTTTAATTATTCAAATCTGATTACAATAAATTCATCCAAACGTTCACATCCTAAGACTCCTTTGTGAAGTCCATCGCGGCCGTCTGTTTACTCAGCAGGGGGTGACGTCAGGTAGAATTTTACCTTTGAACTTGTTTTTCCAGCCGTTCCATGCCTCAAAACGATGGATACTTTGTTCTAATTAGTTATAAAGAGGCTATCTTATGTCTTTTAATATATCCCCTGTATTAAACTACTACTTAGACTAGTGTTTCTCGATATTTTTAAGATCTGTGACCACATTTTATCTCTTTTTCTCGACTCCGGGGCGCCATTTTATGAATAAAGGCAGGGCATTGAAAATTAATGACAGCTTATATACAATACTACATACGTAGGCCACTTTTGCAAGAATTCCACGAATTATTTATGACTTTTAAAATATCTGATATCGTATTTTTGTTAATTATTTATTTTAAAATTAAATGTTTAATTTACGCAGTAAAAATTATTTCATTATACAGAAAATTACTCGGCTGTTTGAGGCCTTCACAGAAAACAGTGTTTTGCAGGTTGACGACCCCTGTAGTCGATGATTCTAAGGGTAGCTTAGTCAGTATAGTGACTGAACGACGGGGGTTGGTACACTGACTGGGACAGAGGATTTTTACTCTAGCCTCTGCGTCCAGAGGGTACAGGATCCCCTTCCCGGGCTTAAAGCGCTGCCGGGGAGGTGACTCTGACCACTCACTCCCATCTAGTGCCGAGGTTAAGAATGAGTAGGAGCTATACCGCTCTCCCCCCAAGCGCCTATATGGCGTGCGGTGGAACAGATTTGGCTTTTATTTACCTCTGCAGGGGATATTGCAGACTCCTGCCGGACCATTGACGCCACACCAAAACCTGCTGTTGATCTGTGTGCAAAGGGAACGAGAAGGGTTGTTAACGGCCACGTTTAGAAGCTCAAGGACGTTTAATTTAAATTAAAAGAATAATATAGATGATTAGTGCTCACGTCTGTTTCTCATTAAATTACCGCCTCCATAGGACGTGATCGAAGTTTGTTCTGCGGACATATCTCTACATAAGTAGTCTATTTGTTACAAAACATTATTTATTAAGTCTGATAATTAATATTCAAATAGTTAAGTCAGTAAAGGGATTGGCTACTGGCTGAATGGTTAGAGTTTATTTCACTTTAGGGCCGTTGATATTTTATGTAGATGGCTGTTTTCAGGGTTGTAGCGCCGTGTAGCATAGTAGAAGTTTATAAACGTTTCGGAGGTCCTTCCTGCCACCATCATCATGGCGTCATGATAATGGATGAAAAGTTGACAGATTTCTACTAGACTCTTGACTTGTGATTTTTATTGTATTTATCGGTCTGTGGATGCAAATACTGATATAGTACCTTAAATTAGGCTGTGGCTACTTTTTGTTTGTCTTTCTATTTTGTTATTTAATGAATTTTCATAATTTTATGCCATAAAATTTGAGAAATTCTGTCTTAATATGCAGGCTGACAGCTGAATAATCAGATGTGTTTGCAAGTGACTGAAATTCATTGGTGCTACATTAATCAAGTCCGGTAGAGGCATAATATTAAGTCATGTACAAATAAGATTGTTTAATTCTTAATAGTTAATACCTTTCTAAAATTTCAATTTTGGGGCTACATAAAGACGCACGCATAAACCCTTGCCCCGAGCTAGAATCGACCCCCTGACTTCTGCGTTCGTGTGGTTCAAGGCCATAACTGAAACTGCTCTGATGTTAGACTGACCTGGAAGAGACTATAATCGTAACTCCCGTTCTCGTTGGGTCCTCCTATGGTTGCGGTATTTCCGGAGCTCTCGCTGATTATAAGGCATACCCCTGTGGACACGTGTACAGTAAGGAACAATTAGAAGACTTTCGCTATGACTGGGGAGTCCCTCAGTATTGTATTACATTGAGTTTTTTAGACAGCGCAACCGTGAAGCAAACTCTGACTGTTATGGGGCCGCCCAACGTGGCGGGAGAAGAGTCCGAGAGGCTTGAAAAAGCACACCCTGTATTAACTTTGTACGAGGTGCGATCGGAAAGTTTCAAGACTGTGTCAATAGAGGGCGAACCGGATGTAGTACAAGCTTCTGCCGCTAGGGAGTGCGGCCTACATTCATAGTGAATCAGTGTGCCAGCCGGCATCATCGAATTAGCATTTGTTTCTTAGTTACGGGCGTTTTGGTAGTGCATTACACCGACCCTCCTGCGATTTCGGAATGGCGCGTGTGCATCAAATTTTGCCAAAGACTCGCCAAAA